TCTCAGCTCAGTACTTTCTGGCTGAGCTGCAAATACAAGAAACTTTTTTTTTTTTTTTTTAAACAAAAACTATTCAAATTTTCTGTCTCTTTATCTCAAAGTACATTTAAAACCTCACGCTGATCTTGAATCTTACACTAAACTACTGGCATCTGACACACTTTAAAGGACCATACCACAGTTTTTTCTGAGATTTGAACTTGATGTTGGTCGAAGTTCATTTCTGTGAAAATCAGAGCTTCAAAATTGCTGCAGGGAGATAATCCATCACAGTCAATTTTTAGTTGTCAAAGTCTTTTTTTCCAGTGCAAAAATGATCTGATGATTAAAATGATAATTAAAGATTATTAGTTTCGCCAATACCAGCCGATTTCATTGTGCATCCCTGCTAACCGGATTTCGTTTGCCATTACTCCACTATATCTTTACATAGCAGATAGTGGTGTGCTGCTGTATTAATGCTCTGAATATTGTATACAGAACCTTCAGGTTATTTGAGAAGCAAAAACATCAAATATTCTCTGGTTCCAGATTCTCTTCTGTGAGGACATGTTGCTTTATATCATGGAAACTGAGTATTTTGACCTCAGGCTTTAGGAAGATACACTGACATTTTATAAACTTAACAATCTGCCAATTAATCAAAACAATAAAATAATAAAAACAACTGTTTCTGGGCCTCATTTTACAAATATCCCAAAAGTATTGAACATATTTCAATACTGTATATTCGGCAGTAATATAAAGAATGAATAATTTTGAGTCTTAAACATGCTCAATCATTGGTATGGTCCTTTAAAAATAGTATATCGTTGTGCTTTCATTTAATGGTGCAGAAAATCTAACTTTGCAACACATGTAAATGGATGAACTGATTTTTAAAGTTTATATTTGAAGATATTTGAAAGTGTACGCAGCTTAATTCTGTCCATTTTAACTTTTGCAGCTCAGCCAAGAAGGTGAACCTTCTTCTTCCTGCCTCCGGTATTCAGAGTGCATTTTCTCGGGCTTACTGGTGCCTCTAGAGGCCGGTGGTGGAATAGCAGCCCTGGGGTGTAGAGCTCCAAGTCGCACCCGCTGGCAGGGAGGCACATCACCTCCACAACCACCTCCTCCTCCTCCTCCTCACCTCCTCCTCCTTCCTTCTGAGAGGAGTCAGGAGGTCAAAGGAGGGAGGGGGGCATGGCAGCATCGGAGGACAAAAAATAAATAAAAGGAACAACAAAAATAACAAAAAGGCACAGACAACAAATAAATAACTACAAGACAGGAAATTATAAATACACATATAACAGTAACATACTGAAGGTCCAAAATGAAATTATAACTACACAGAACACACAAAACACCAGGGGTCAGGATCACACACACGGATTAAACCTTGCCATTCACCATCTGATTTAAAGGTCCAGTGTGTTGGGTTTAGAGGTATATATTGGCAGAAATGTATCATATATCATATAATAAACATGTTTTCTTTAGTGTAAAATCACCTGAAAATAAGAATTGTGTTTTCTTTACCTTAGAATGAGACATTTATATCTACATAGGGAGCAGGTCCTTTACTATGGAAGTCACCATGTTCGCCACCATGATTCTACAGTCGCCCAGTACAGACTATTTTTATTACAGTAATATGTATAGAGCGGACTGAAAAAGCAGTTTATCTGTATTTGAAATATTTAGAATTTATATTATACCAAAATAAGATCTATACTAAGGGTCCGTGTACTGACACAATTTTGCCAATGCAAAATATAGCAATACTCTGCTGTATCAATTAGTAAAACGTTAAGTCAGTAGATGTAATTGTTGTTATTAAATTCTCAAAAACTAGAATAGTTTCTGTTACAGATTACATCCACGTCTGTGAAAACACGGATGCTACACACACATTTTCCGCGACAGCACAAAAGATCTATACAATCGGCACAGTTTCAGGGTCGGCACCCAAGATTAGAGTCTCCAATTCAGACCAAATATTTCCTCTTAGTTATGACCTTGAATAATGGCCAGAAAAGTGTTTTATGCAAAACATTATGATGTCACAGTGATGCTGACCTTTGACCTTTTGGATTTAAATTGTCATCACTTTATCATTTTATGCTGTTAGATATTTCTGTGAAATTTTGTCATAGCTAGCGTATGAAATCTTTTAATTATGGCTAAAACCAATTTTTGTGAGGCCACACTGACCTTGACCTGTAACCTTTGATCAATTAATTCTAATCAGTTTATTCTTAAGTCCAAGTGGACATTTGTGCTAAATTTGAAGAACTTCCTTGAGATAATGTGTTCACTAGAATGAAACAGACACAAGGTCACAGTGACCTTGACCTTTGACCACTGAAATCCAACTATTTCACTGTTGAGTGAAAGTAAACATTTGTGCCAAATCTGAAGAACTCTCATAAAGGCGTTCTTGAGATAACGCGTTCACAAGGATGGGACTGATACAAGGTCACGCTGACCTTAACCTTTGACCTATGACCACCAAAAATGAATCACTTATCGTTAAGTCCAAGTGGACATTTGTGCCAAATTTGAAGAAATGACCTTTGAGGCGTTTGTGAGATATCGTGTCCACAAGGATGGACAACCCGAAAACATAATGCCTCCTGCCACAGCTATCACCTGCGTGAAGGTATAAAAAAAGCTGGTCTTTTAATGATTTTTATTTTTATTTTATGCCCTCAGTGTCAATTAATTCCTTGTGGTATCGTAAATGGTATTGAATATCAACTTTTTCCAAGGTGTCGAAATTAGAAAATTCCAGTCTCTTGATAAAGCTGAGGCTGATTTTTGGTGACTCATTCTGTCAGATGGGACAGTTAGGGCCGACAAAATCTCCAATCTGTCATGTTAGTCTATGAAGTTAATATAAAATGATTCTCTTTCCTTCACACTTGGAAAAAAACGACTCAGCCTAATCTGTGTGCCTGATGTGAGCCCCGATGATCCTAAATCAAAGCAAATATCGTCAATACAAACAAAACAGTTAGACTGCCAACAAAACACCACAGGACAACTATAGCTACTGTACAGATGAAGCCACTGTACAAACCCAACATCTACTGCTGACTGCAGTGCAGCATTTAACTGGCTCATTTAGCCCAGTATCATGTTAACTGGATTATTTAAAGGGACAGTTCACCCCAAAATCAAATATTTTTCTTCTTACCTGTGGAGCTATTCATCAGTCTCGATTATTTTGGTGTGAGTTGCCAAGTGTTGGAGATATCGGCCTTCTCTCCAATATAATGGAACTAGATATCACTTAGCTTGCAGTGCTCAAGGTGACAAAAAAATGTTCTTTCTACCAAACTACATCAGCCAACTGTATCACCATGCAGAAGGAATTGTGCAGCTACTCATGGACGAGAGGCTCGTGACAGCGCAAGATTTTAAACATTAATGGTGTCCTCTTCGGCTGAGCTGTAACATTAGCTAGCTTAGTGGTGCTAGGTGAGCTAGCAGTAGATGCACACTTCCTTCTGCTTGGTGATCTGGTTGGCGTATGTAGTTCCATAGAAAGAAAATAGTTCCTACATGAAACTGCTCACAACAAGGTCTGTGGATTATCTTGAGTAACCAGGTCATGATTTCTGGAAAGAGACTTTGATGTTTTTTAAATTATTATTATTTAAATTAAAGTATTTTATTGGCACTTTGAGCACCACAAGCTGAGAGAAGGCAGACATCTCTCCAGCTGATATCTCCAACACTCTGCAACTCACGCCAAAACCGTTAAGATTAGTCTAGCTCGGTCAGAGAGTTGATTCTCCGTATCAATAAGATCCCCTGTTTCACTGTTTTATATTTGCCTGTAAATATCAGCAAAACTAGTAAAGATGTAGTGGAACAAACTGTATGTTCATATTGTTTAGCATAAGTAAAGTATCATAACATCTCTGAAAACATGTACTTCAAAAAGCTAAATCATAAGAAGAGGCATCTGTCTACTAATGGAGGGAAAATTGGGTTTAAACCGTCTAAGAAGTGAAGACCAAAGTAAGTAGGTAAAACACCAAAATATCCTTAAAGGAATAGTTTGGATTTCTTGAAGTGAGGTTGTATGAGGTACTTATCCATAGTCAGAGTATTACCTACACTAGATTTCAGTCGGCAAGACCCAAGTTTGGAGAAGCAGGCTGGAGTACTGCCACAGAAGCTAAGCAATGTGCTGCTGTGGACAGGGGCAGCAGCAAAACGTATGTTACCACCAAAAAGACTGAATATGAGTTCAAGTGTGCGCTATATTTAGAATGTTTTCAATGCTTCATCTTGCCGTCAGACAGCCCTTTCCAAAGGGCAACTAACCTAAAAGTAAAACTATGCTCTATTCAAAGCCAGACCCCACTGACAAAAACAGTAATTTTACCTTGCTGAACATGTGAGCTGTTGCACTAGTTCGGCCTCAATTAGTTAGTTTGTTTATATTATTGTGTGACTTTGGTGTCTAAAAGTGTTAGTTAGGATTCACCAAAGACACAAAATAACCGAACAAACGAATTGATGGAGGCAGTCCTAGACCAGCAGCTACTGTGCTATGTGAAGTAGAATTGCTGTTTTTGTCAAAGGGGTCTGGCTTTGAAGAGAGCACAGATAACTGCTTCAATTACAGTTCAGTTCTCTGGTGGCTATAATACATTTTTGCTGCTGCCCCCGTCCACAGTAGTACATTGTTTAGTTTCCATGGTGGTACTCCAGCCTGCTTCTCCAAACTGGAGGTGTGCTGACTGCCATCTACTGTATGTAATACACTGACTATACCTCACACAACCCATCTTCAAAAACTCAGAGCTTTAACAAGAAATATCTAAAACAGCTAACACTATGCAACATCACAATCAATTTCTTCTAGTGTGCAGCAAGAGAGTACAGTACAACACTGTCCTGAGCTTCTCACGAGTTCCAAGTCTGTACAACAATATATTTCAAATATTATTTAATATAATTGTCAGGCACAAAGTTTACAGAGTGACGGACTGAGCACTGACCTGTTTGTCTGAGCGGTCGGCGATGCTGTAGACCAGCGGAGGGATGGAGCCTTCTTTCGTTTTTCCAACATCACTGCGGAAATGTTCACTGGCAGGCAGACAGCTGAGGAACACACACACACACACACAATAAGTCTATGTGTATAGTTTGTGTCACATAGACAGTCAGAAAGACCTATATATGCCTTTGAACGTCAGTGCTTGTACCGCTGCCATGACTTTAACAGAGCATGACTCAGAGTCAACTATTTTAAAGTTTAGGGACTGTTAAAACCTTTCCAGACCCAATTCCTTCACATTAAGGACCCAACACAACACAGCTTAAGACACGGCTTAGGATAAAAAAAAAATTCTATTATGTCAGGACAATGAGAAACTCTATCAAAATAATGACTTTGTATCTCAAAATAATGAGGAACTCTCAAAATGACTTGCTAATCTCTAAATAAATAATTAATCAATATCTCTAAATACTGAGAAACAATACTAAGTCACTATTAGAAGAATATTTCTTATTATTTTAAAAACTAACTAATTATTTGGAGATATTAAGTTAATATTTGGAGATATCAAGTCATTTTGGGGAAAGCTTTTCATTATTTTAAGATAACTCATAATTTGGAGATATTAACCCATTATTTGGAGATATACAGTCATTATTCAGAGATATGAATACATTATTTGGAGATACTAAGTCATTGTTTTGAGAAACAAACTCGTTATTTGGAGACACTTAACACTCTGTGGAGACACAGAGTTCATTTTTGGAGATATTAAGTCATTATTTTGAGAAAGCTTTTCAATATTTTAAGATAACTCATAATTTGGAGATATTAAGTTATTTTTGGGAGATATGATGTCATCATTTTGAGAAACAAACTCATTATTTTGAAAATAATTTGTATATATATATTTAAAATACAGTGTTTTTCTCCTTCTGTCTCTCTCTCTCTGAAACACTGATATTGATATTGATATTGATATTGCGTGCACATATATATATAT